CCATGTAGTGTTCCCTTGTTTCTTTCAAATGACAGACAGCCTCCTGGTCAATGTACAGGTTCCTCATGAGTACAGTCAAGTGTTTGGGAATTTCCATTCCTTTCAATGTTATCCATAATTTGTCATAATCCACACAATCAAATGCCTTTGCATAGTCAGTAAAACATAAGTAGACATCTTTCTGGTATTCTTTGCCTTGAGCCAAGATCCATCTGACAGCAGCTATGATATCCCTTATTCCACATCCTCTTCTGAATCCAGCTTGCACCTCTGGAAGTTCTGTCAATATACTGCTGCAACTGGTTGCAGCAGTCTAAGCATAGGATGATTGTTTTTTATAATAATTTTAGAATATACATAGTTTGAGTGATTTATTCAACAAATATTAATAAATAGCTCCTACATTATATGAGATATGTTTGATAGTGATTTGTAAGATATAAAGTACTATTCAAATCTAATGTATTATTGAATATAACATACCCATTGGCCAACTGTGAGAGCATTTTATTAACCATGTAAAATAGTTGCTTAACAATTGGTGTTTTGAAATTTTCATAATTCTATATGTTGTTTTTAGGTACATCTATACTTTATAACATGGATTAAAGTTACTTGCACAGTATCCATAGAGCATTAAACACACTCATTAGTTTGAAAATATGTTCTCTAAATGCCCAGAATGTCGTATGATGATCTTAAATCACACTGAATCCAATTCCTACAAGATAGAAGTCCACATGTGTCCAGGCATGTGTATTGTGCCAGGAAATATCTAGCAGCAGGGAAAATCTAAAAAACTGTTTTCAAACATGTTGCTTCTTATATACCAGGTAATGTTCTAAGTGCTTTTCAAATGATAACATACTTAATCTTCTTAGCAATCCTATGAAATAAGTAGAATTATTATCATCTCCATTTTTACACAGAAGAACTGAGGCATAGAGAGGTTAAATGACTTATCCAAGATCTTCAAGCTGGTAAGGCATAGCCAGCATTTGAATTCACAGACATTTGAGTAGTCTAGTTCCCAAACCTATACTTTTTACCATTATGCTATTTTCTTCCCATTCTTGATCCAAAACTGTGTACCTGTTTCCTTGCCTAAGAGAACAGTGTGTTACCGTTGGTGTTTTACTGGGATCAAGATCTTGTTCTAAGTAGTGGAGTGTAGTGTTCAGGTTCCAGTTCTACCATTCACTATCTGGGGCAGGCTGATTTATTCCTTTGTGCTCTGGTGTCCTCAGCTGTAAATGGGGATAATATCAGGTCTTATCTCTCAGAAAGCATCAAAAGACAGTGGAAGGAATATACAGAGTCACTTTATTAAAGAGAATTGGTCAGCGTTCAACCATTTCAGAAGATAGCACATGATCAAGAACCAATGGTACTGAAGGAAGAAGTCCAAGCTGCACTTATGTCACTGGCAAAAAACAAAGCTCCAGGAATTGATGGAATACCAATTGAAATGTTTCAACAAATGATGCAGTGCTGGAGCTGATTACTCTTTTATGCCAAGAAAGTTGGAAAACAGCTACCTGGCTGATTGACTGGAAGAGGTCCATATATGTGCCCTGCCCATTCCAAAGAAAGGTGGTCCAAAGGAATGCAGAAATTATCAAACAATATCAATAATATCACACACAAGTAAAATTTTGCTGGAGATCATTCAAAAATGGTTGCAGCAGTACATTGACAAGGAATCAAATTCAAGGCAGACTCAAAGGGCACATGGAAGGAGAGATATCATTACTGATATACAGATCTTGGCTGAAAGCAGAGAATACCAATACTTGGATCTGCAGTCAACACCCATGGATGCAGCGGTCAAGAAATCAAACATTTCATGCATCAGGCAAACCTGCTGCAAAAGACCTCTTTAAAGTGTTAAAAAGCAAAGATTTTGAAGAATAAGTTGTGCCCCGCCCAAACCATGATATTTTCAATTGTCTCATATGGATGTGAAAGCTGGACAATGAATAAGGAAGACAAAAGAAGAATTGACACCTTTGAATTATGATGTTGGCAAAGAATATTGAATATAATAACATGGATTGTCAAAAGAATGAGCAAATCTGTCTTGGAAGAAGTATAGCCAGAATGTTCCTTGGAAGCAAGAATGATGAGACTTTGTCTCACATACTTGGACATATAATCAGGAGAGACCAGTCCCTGGAAAAGGATATCTATCATGCTTTGTAAATTAGAGTGTCAGTGAAAAAGAAGAAGACCCTTAATGAGATGGATTGACAGAGTGGCTACAACAATGAGCTCAGCCATAGCACCTAACAACAAGAAGAACCACTGATGAGGTGGTTGGGAGATTAACTTAGTTAATATATGTGAAGCTGTTGTTAGGTGCTATTGAGTCACCATTGTTGTAAACTCACAATTGTTGTGTTTGAACCATTGTTGCAGTCACTGTGTCAGTCAGTTGTTGTTGTTATGTGCCGTTGAGCCCGACTCATAGTGACCCCTCTTTGGGTTTCTGAGGCCATATCACTACGGAAGTAGATTGCCCAACCTTACTTCCAAGGAGTGGCTGGTGGGTTTGAACCGCCAGCCTTCTGGTTAGCAGTCAAATGTGTAAATGTTTGTTATTAGTATGCAAGTTCCTCAGGACTTTGGTAGTGCCTATCAAAGTTCATTTGGTGGTGGATTTAGTATTTAACAATTAGGCGTAACAAAGAATCAGACACTTGTCTTTTAGGCATTTTTGGGATATAAGCATGATTTCAAAATTACTTTTGATTGATAGTACTGTCATCATCATCATCAATATACTCATTTGAATCATTTCAGTATCATTCATTAACAGAATTCTGGAGTCTCTGGGTAGCACAAATAGTTAAGCACTTGACTATGACAGCTGAAAGACTGACAGTTCAAACTCACTCAGAAGCACCTTGGAAGACACTCCTGGTGATCTGCTTTTGAAAGGTCACAGCCTTGAAAATCCTATGTGGCAGATTTACTCTATTTTATAGCAACTAACAACAATAACTGAATTCCAGCTTAGAAAGCGTGACTTTTAATGTCAGGTGATTTAGACTCAGACTGTAGGTGAGCCTCAGGCCCTGGTAACTCACCTACTTGGATAAGACTCTTTAGGGATAAGATAGTGATTTGAATGTTACTTGATTTTTAATGTCAGGACAAAGTTCTGTCTTAAATAGTCTACAGCCTTCCAGCAATCTTCCTAAGTTTGTTTCTCATTTTGGTGAAACCAATATCCAGATGGCCCTCAGCTGTTATCTGAATCCAATTAAAGCCCACAGATTTTCTATACAGTTTCTGGTTTCACTTGACACCAGCACTGGGCCAAACTATAACAAAGAGGACTCTCTTAAAAATAGTTGATGAGTGCCATCTCTCCCTGGGTTCAGCTGGTATGACTGAGTTGGCAAGGCCTGGTATGGGAATATCCAGAGAGATAATTGTTACAATTGCAAGTCTTTGTTATCTGCTCTTCATTAATTTTACATGTTGTTGTTTTGTGCCATCAAGTCAATTCTGACTCTAGTGACCCTTTAAGACAGGGAAGAATTGCCCTATAGGGTTTCCTCAGCTATAATCTTTATGGGAACAGATTGCTATGTCTTTTCTTCTACAGAGCAGCTGGTGGGTTCAAACCACCAATCTTACTTAGGCAGCTGAGTACTTAACAACTGCACCACCAGGGTTCCTTGTGCAAGGTTGTTCTGGTTACCTAGTGTGCTCTGGCAAGAACATACCACAAATGGGATGGCCTTCACAAACAAGGGTTTATTCTCTTACAGTTCAGGGGGCTAGAAGTTCGAGTTCAAAGTGCCAGGCTCTAGGGGCTGTGAAAGACCCTCAACCTTGGGCTTCAGCTCTGCCTCTTGTTCCCCACCCACTGAAGCTAGAGACATCTCTTCACTCAGGCTACTGAGGCTAACAAGCCCAAGATCAACAAATAAAATGGCATAGTCCTGATGTTACCAAACCACATGGCAGGCCATTAATTCAAGTCCATTGTAAGTCCCAAGGTTGGCAGAGTATGGCAGGCTGCTGAACAATGACACGGCTACATGCAGGGTTCAAGCATGCCATAAGCTAGAGACCATTCCCAAAGCTGTTTCTTATATATGGGAAGCAGACCACATACCCAAAGGCAGCTACTCAGTTGCTCCCAGTAGATTCCACAATGGAGTTGATTACCAGTCTCATCATGGGGAACACTACATCCAGCTGCCCATCTACTCAACTAGGCTCAGCCAAGCTGACACACAAATTTAACCACCACAAAGGTCTTTACAAGGTTCATGTTCACCATTAATAGAGTTGCCAGTCTGCTGAAGTTTTTCATAGCAACCATATAATCCTCTCTTCATACCCTTGCTTTAAACATAGTAATTAGATTCTCTGTCCAACTGGGCCTTCAAATTAATCCTTTGACAATCTCAACCATTTTATTTAAATAAATAAACAATTTTATTCACTATGCCTTTATGTCTTCCTGCTGTTTGGGATAAACTTATCAGTTCTATAGGTTGCTTAGGAGTTCAAGTGGTGTAGTGTATAAGGGATTTGCCTGCTAACCCAAAGGTTTGTGGTTCAAACCCAGCAGCTGCTCCATGGGAGAAAGATGAGGTAATCTACTTCCCTAAACATTTACAGCCTTGGAAATCCAATGGGGGTCACTATGAATTGGAATCAACTCAATGGCAGTGAGAATAGGTTGCTCAATCTATGATATCTGCAACATAGATAAGTACAAAAAGCATGCTCTTTGAACTCTTGGATTGTCATGCTGTGCCAGTTCAGAAGCCCATGAGGAGACTAACTAGTGATAGAATGGGACCTTATGGAGCTCCATGCTTCCGTAGTGATACTGCCTCGGAAACCCAAGGAGGGGTCGCTATGAGTCGGGTTTGACTCGACGCACACAACAACAACAACAACAACAACAGTAGAAAGAAAAAGAGAAACAGGTAAATCACAGTAAATGATGCCCTTTTTCTTCTTGTCCTTCTCAGGTGAGCCTTTTTCTCAAGAGGAAATGGAAGAAATGCTGTCTGCTGCAATTGATCCAGAATCAAATTCAATTCATTACAAGGACTATATAACAATGATGGTGGTAGATGAAAATTAAACACTCTGAAGACTTAATTTCTAATTCAAAGCACAATTTTAAAAATTTGCTTTGTCTTTGTGGGTTTTACATTTTATCTTGTAATTCCTACATCTGATAATTAATACCTTTCAACATAAACTATTTCAAGGTACTTTGTTTTTTAGAATGATTATAACAATTTAAAGCATAAATATATTGCCAAAGGGGCAAGGAGGCCACATCTTCTGACCCCCTCTGACCCCACAAGAAGAAGACAGAATCACCATCAGTAGCCCAAAGCCTATCCCTGTGAGGCCAGACATGCCGCCTCCCTCCAGCCCTTTCACCAACCCTGACACCAACCATTCCTCCCACAGCACGCCCCACCTCTCTGCTGGGTTTGATAATTCAATGCAGTGGCCACATAGAACTCACAGATTATGGGGTTTATTAGGGATGCAACAGGCTACAATTCAAGTTCAGAAATGCCCTCAGTCTCTCGCAGCCTACTGTCTCTCAGCCGACAGTCTCTCTCAGCCTCTCTCTCAGCAGTGCATGTCTCTCAGTGTCTCTCTCCCAGCAGTGCATGTCTCTCAGTCTCTCTCTCAGCAGCACATGTCTCTCACATCTCTCTTTCAGCAAGTGCGTGTCTCTTGGGAGCACATTCTCTCAGCAGCACATCTTTCTCAGCCAGCAATCAGAGGGACTCCTCCTGTCTCTGGGAGGGCTCCTTTTGAGCCTGGCAGAGTGGCCAGACTAACTAATCCCAACACTAGAATTCTATACACCTGAGAGAGAAAGACGTTCCCAGAAAATTACTTGGTGCTACACCCAACAGAAATACCCCAGGTGGCTAACTTTCACAATCAGGAGCTACTCAGTTGTTCATGGCAAAATCCATCACGGAGTTTACAAAGACTTATGGCTAGAAAAGGCACACTATGTAACTTACTACACCACATATATATAGTATGTTTAGCCTATGGAATGTCAAATTGCTAATAATTTAAAAACTATTCCAATAATATTTTAACTTTATCCATGGATTGTTGTTTTTTTCCTAAAATAATACCCATTTGCCTTCATATTACTTAAACTGACAGAATGAAGACTAACTGGAATGGCCCAAGGTTTGACATATTATGTTCTTGGGAGGGGGCAGAAAGACCACAAATTGAAAATAGTAGCAATATGATTAAGTCTTCTTTTTTAAGCAACAAATACCTTAGCAATCTGAATGTGGAAGGAGAGTTATTGAAGTGAATATTAATAATTGATTCCTTATGAGTACCAACTATAAATTTATTTTTGACATAATAGTAAGTTAGCATAAAAATTTTAATTTGCTGATCCAGTTTGTTGCCATTTATGGAATAGCTAAAGAAGTTGAAATAATTGAATCTAGAGAAAAGAAAATTTAGTGGAAATCCATAATTTAAAGTAGTAACAATTGTGTCCTGGTCTTTACAACTCTCACCTATTCAGAATCTCTCTCATGGGAATATTGTCCTGAATACTGACTAAGAATACTGAAAATTTTTATGGTATGCAGGAAGTACAACTATTGAAAGAGCAGAATACAGTTAACTTAGCACAAGGAGTCACAATGGGCAAATGCATAGGGACTTACAAGCAAAGAGGAATATAAGGTAAAGGAAAATGGAAATCTTCCATTACCTATATATTATTTCATACAACACAATACACACACACTGTGATTTCTGTTGAAAAATGGCTTCATCAGGCATATACACACATAAACAATTGATGTCGCTTGTAGTTGTTTCTCTTAGGCATACAGTCCTGCTTCCCAGCACAGGAGGCTGCTACCCAAGAGACTGTCACTGTTTATTCATTCATTAAGCATTTACTGAGTATCATTAGGTAATATGCTGGGAACTAGAGATGCAAAGTGAATAAATCCCTAAGCTTATAGTTTAGTGAGGGAGACCAGTAAGTAAGCCAGCAATCATATTTTTTTTTCCTTTTTTTAAAATTTTTATTGTGATTTGGGTGAAGATTTACAGGGCAAATCAACTTTCCATACTGCACTTTACATATACTTTGTCTAATGACATTGACCACAGTTTACCACAATGCAACAGCTCCACTCCCCCTTCCTCCTCATAGTTACCTCTTCCCAGTGTCCATCCGTCCATGGACTCCTGCCCCCTGAGCTGTCTCCCTGTGCATAGGCAGCCCTTCTTTCTCAATGATTGTTCTCTCCAAGAAGTGTATCTACCTCAGGTAAATGTTCAACTCATCTGCCTGTCTTCTGTTTGGCTGGAAACCAC